GTTGCCCTGGGTTGTGGGAATTGATTGGTATCTAGGTGTTGGCGATCTTGCTTCTTAGAATTCTCTCAAAGATTTTTATGATATGGGAAGTTAGTGCTAACGGTCTGTAGTTCTTTGCAATTGCTTTACTGCCACCTTTGTGGAGTGGGACTATGTCTGCTGTTTTTAGTGTGTGTGAGATGACCCCTGTGTCCATACTTCCTCTCCATAAAATGCTGAAGGCACACAATAGAGGCTTCTTGCAATTCTTCATGAACACGGAGTTCCACGAGTCTGGGCCTGTGGCAGAGTGCATGGGCATGTCATGCAGCGGCTCCCTGAACACTGAGTCTTATTGGGACTCTTGTATCTCGCTCATTTCTTGGCTATCATCTGTGTATATCCCATTCTGCCTAAGCATGGGCCCAATACTGGATGTTGTTTTTCCCTTAGATTTTGCATAAGAGAAGAAGTATTTTTTTTTCAATTTCCTTTATCGCTTTTAGTCCTTCCTGTGATTCTTGTCTCCTATAAGATTTCTTCAGCTTAAGTTCGATATTTGCAATTTCATTGACTAGTGCCTCCCTTCGTATTTCAGATATATTGGCCCCACTTAGCAGCTCTGTGACTCTTTATCTTCTTCTGTATAGGGAACGTCCCTGTCTTTCTAGTTTACATCATCTCTTTCTTTTTCTTAAAGGAATGTGTCTTAGACAGATCTAAAGAACCACAGAATTCATTTATTCAAGGCAAATCTTCGGATCCATGTAGTTTAGGATATCTTCCCAGCTTGTTTCATTTAGCACATGGTTTACTTGATCCCATTGTATGTTTTTGTTATTGAAATTAAATTTCGTGAAGAGACCCTCATGACTGCTCACATTTTGCTGGTCCGGAGCCCTGTGCATACATGTCTGTACCTCTATTATGTTGAGATCTGAATGTATTGTCTTTGATACAATTATATTACGTATCAGATCGTCATTGTTAGTGAAGATGAGGTCCAGCATATTTTCTAGTCTTGTAGGCTCTACTATTTGCTGGTTTAAGGTGAATTTGGTGCAGAGATTTAATAGTTCGTGTGTGTGTGAATTTTCATCATAGCTGCTTCCCGGGGTGATCTCTGCTAAAACATTGTTTGCTATACTCCTCCAGTTTAGGTGTCTCAAGTTGATCTCCTAGTAGTAAGATGTTTGGGGCAGGAGTTGGGAGATTTTCCAGACAGTGGTCAATTTTCTCAAGCTGTTCCTGGAATTGCTGGGAAGTTGTATCTGGAGACTTGTATACTACCACAATGACAAGGTTTTGGTTTTCAATCTAAAACTTCAACTACATCATTTGAGGTGTTTAGTAGTTCTGTGCAAATGAGCGACTCTGTGACATACAGTGCGTGGGGCAGTGAGTCGAGTGAAAAAGGGTAAAGCAGCTGGGATTGATGGGATAAAGATAGAAATGTTAAAAGCAGGTGAGGATATAGTTCTTGAGGGTTGGTGCTTATTTAATAAATGTATGGAAGAGGTAAGGTACCTAGGGATTGACAGAGATGCATGCATAGTTCGTCAGTATAAAGGCAAAGGAACAAAAGAGAGTGTAAAAAATATATGGAATAAGTCTAGTTGAGTATACCTGGTAAAGTGTAGAGTTTATTAGTAATAGAGTTATGGTAAGACGGAGAACAGGAGAACAGATGAACAAGGAGGCTTTAGGAAAGGTAGAGCAAGTGTTTGAAGTGAAACACATAAGTGAATAGCATTTGGATAAGGGTAAAGAGGTTTTTGTGGCATTTATGGTTTTGGAAAAGTCATATGATATGGAGGATAGGGCGGCAATGTGGCAGATGTTACAAATGTATGGAACAGGAGGTAGGTTATTGAAGTTTTTACGAGGATAACGAGGCTCAGGTTAGAGTATGTACGCGAGAGGGGGAATATTTTCCAAGAAAAGTTGGCATTAGACACGGATGTGTGATGTCACCATGGTTGATCAATATTGTTATAGATGGAGTAGTAAGAGAAGTGAATGCGCGGGTATTGCAAGAGCAGGGCCAGATTAAGAAGTCTCCGGGCCCTAGGCATATCAGATTGGCGGGCCCCTTTGAGTTACGGGTAAGCGAAGCGACCCCTTCCAGCTTGGGGGTGGGGGTCAGTGTGAGCCTGTTTAAGGTCTAATTAAATACATTCTGGCTATTTAGATTAAATTTAATAGGGAAAGTACATCAAGACAACCAAAACCATTTACCAACATCCATTATAACTATCTTGTTAAATCATGCATTTTAAAGAGAATAAACTCAAGACAGCATAGTATTACTAGATTTGGCTATTAAAGTAGTGACATCATGTACCTATTATATTCAGCATAACCACTACAGCACTATTATTCCCTTTATAAATCATTGACCATTATTGTTATCATTATTGTTAGCATTTGCGACGGAAGTGATGTAGAAAATCAATCAATTGAGATCTGTTATTGAAATGATAAAGACTTAAAGACAGGACAAAGTGCTTTTAAACCTACAAACCGAAGTCAGTTTGCGTTTTTAGGTTTTTCTTTATAGTATTTTTACCAAAAATGCGTCTTTACTGGTCCATGCATCTTTTCTGGTCAAGTAACCCTATCAGGTACCTCCCTTAACATTTAGAGGCGAAAACAAACATTTATCCATACACATCAATGTCTATCAACAACACTTCAGTTAATTTGTCACAGAACAAGTCTAGATAACGTGTAATTACTACAGAAAATTGGAGAGGAATCTCCCATACTCACCCATTAGCGGGAAAACACAGCTGTTCTGATGTAAACAAAGGCGTGTTGAGTGTTTGCCATCTATGGTTAGGTTTATTTTATTTTTATTTTATTTTATTTCATTTTTTATTTTTGTTTTGATTAATTTTTAAAAATCAATTTTACTCTCCAAACACTTGAACTTTTCAGGTAGGGACCCCTTTGTACTTGCACCATGTGCGCAGTCTTGGATGAGCCCCTGAACCCCTTGGACCACGGGGCCCCCAAATGCGCGGGGCCCTAGTAAATGCCTCGTTTGCCTATGCGGTAATCCGGCCCTGTCGGATTACCACACCTTGCTTGCTGCAAGAGGTGTGGGATTAAAAGATAAAGAATCTAACACAAAGTAGGAGTTGTCACAGTTGCTCTTCGCTGATGACACTGTGCTTTTGGAAGATTCTGAAGAGAAGTTACAGAGGCTGGTGGATGATTTAGTAGGGTATGTAAAAGAAGGAAGTTAAAAGTGAATATAGTAAAGAGTAAGGTGATAAGGATAACAAAAATAATTTAGTAACGGAAGATTCGATATCAGATTGGAGGGAGAGAGTATTGAGGAGGCTAATGTGTTTAGATATTTGGAAGTGAACGTGTCAGCAGATGGGTCTACGAAAGATGAGGTGAATCAAAGAATTGACGAGGGGAAAAAGGTGAGTGGTGCACTGAGGATTCTGTGGAGACAAAGCACTTTATCGATGAAAGCAAAGAAGGGAATGTATGAGAGTATAGTTATACCAACGCTCCTGTATGGGTGTGAGGCATTGGTTGTGAATGCTACAACAAGGAGAAGACTGGAGGCAGTGGAGATGTTATGTCTTAGGGCAATATGTGGTGTGAATATAATGCAGAGAATCCGTAGTTTGGAGATTAGAAGGAGGTGTGGGATTACCGAAACTATTATCCAGTAAGGGCTGAGGAAGGGTTGTTGGGGTGGTTTGGACATGTTGAGAGGAAGAAACAAAAGAAAATGACTTCGAGAGTGTATAAATCTGTAGAGGAGGGAAAGCAGGGTTAGGGTCGGCCTAGGAAAGTTTGGAGGGAGGGGCTAAAGGAAGTTTTTTGTGCGAGGGACTTGGACTTCCAGCAAGCATGCGTGAGCGTGGTAGACAGGAGCGAATGGAGACAAATGGTTTTTAGGACTTGACGTGCTGTTGGAGTGTAAGCAAGGTAACATTTTTGAAGAGATTCAGGGAAATCGGCATTCCAGACTTGAGTCCTGGAGATGGGAAGTACAGTGTCTGCACTCTGAAGGAGGGGTGTTAATGTTGCAGTTTTATAACTGTAGTGTAGGCTTGCCTCTGGCAAGACAGTGATGGAGTGAATGATGATGAAAATTTTTCTTTTTCGGGCCACCCTGCCTTGGTGGGAAACGGCGGATGTGTTAATGATATTATTAATAATAATAATAATAATAATAATAATAATAATAATAATAATAATAATAATAATAATAATATATCAGCCATCTCTTTAACTATAGACAACACAACACTGTTGTAAAGATAGTCAAACGGGTGACTGTTGTCGGAGTTTTCAACAGTTGAAATATGAGATAGTTAAATAAGTCGCTGATCGTGGCTGCATTTTTTTCTACTCGTTGTATATATTCAGAGCTTTACCGTTGTAAACTAAACTAGACTAACCTAGCCAAACACTACCTAACCTAACAAAACCTAATCCAACCTAGCATAACCAAAACTTAACCTAACCTAACCCAACCAAGCCCAACCTAACCAAATTTAACCGAACCTAACCTAACCTATCCTAACCTAACCTATCCTAACCTAACCAATTTTAGAAATAGGCTGCAAAGCCTATGTGAAAGTGGCAGTTAATAGAAGGATGGGTTGGTATATAAACATTTAAGTAAACGTCGCTCTTGGCAAGAAAACACATTCCCAAACATTCATTCGATTCATTCTAACAAGTTCTTATAATTTATTTAAACAGAAAATATTCCTATATTTGAATAAAATTAACATTGTAAAAGTGCCTAGGGAAACACAGTGTTAACTAACCTACTTTCAGTGGTGCCCTCATCAAGAAGAAAGTGATGTATCCAATACCTAAAAATTTATTTCTTAGGAATGAAAATAAAGACTAAAAGTCATGAAAGGAGGTAAACATTGCACTGTGTATAGCAATAATTTAGAAACAATCTGGGCTTCTAAGCTCAGATTGTTTCCTAGACTGACAAGTTGGAACTTCAGCATTGGGTGTCTTGTTCTGTACAGGACCTACACACAGTGGACTTGGAAGACTTCCGTCATGGCGGCACCAACGTCACTGCGCTGAGGATCGTAGACCCGGAGAACCCTCTGGTCCAGCGAGTCATTCAAGACTGGGTGTTTGGAGAGCTCCGCTATGGCCGGACCATCGCGTCTCCCATCAGCACACTGCAGGTGAGTTCAGCGGTACCTTCTGGGGGTGATAATGTAGTCAGGAATGTTGCATGACGAGGATCCTTGTAGATGAATGGTTCAGAGAACCGACATTTTGATAAATTAGACACATGTACAACTCTTGGGTATCTTTATTGAGGAAACGTTTCGCCACACAGTGGCTTCATCAGTCCATACAAAGGAGAAACGTGAAGAACAGGAGGAGAATGAGGTAATCAGTCCTTCAACCTCGAGTCGATGTGGCCAGTCCATCAATCGAGGATCCTTGCTATGTGATGATGCTTTCAGAGATCTTCTCTTATCCTGTACTGGACAAAAATTCGCCTTCTTACCTGAGCAAAAAATTCTGTGATATCAAAGTCGCTTATTTTTCTCTGATATCTCATTTCAAATATGCTAATATAACACAATATTCTATATAGAACGCAATATTCTAATCTACCCTTAGCATAATTAGACATAAAGCAACAAAATTTAAAGAGAAATTAGTAACATTACAAAACTGACGTTGAAAACCACTTTAAGAACTTAACTTAGTAAATGGGGTTGATTAGATAGGTGTTGGATCAAAAGATTTCCGAGAGGATCCATAGAACCCAATGTGTGCACAGCAAGGTCTTAGGCAGAGAAATCCAACACTATATTATATAGATAACAAGATTCTGAAAAACGATCGAAGTAAAATAATTTTGGGGGAAAGTTCAATTTTTAATGCAATTCTGCATAAACAACTTTGTTTATTAAAGTCAACACACACACACTTCTTGTCAGTTCATGAGAATAAATTATTATACTTATTCTGTAAATATAACACACATGATGCTATGGACACTATGGATAAGACAGTGTACATTATAATACTCATATGTATCATCTGGTACGTTGCTGTAATGGGATGTACTCATAAGTGCAACAATGATATACTTATGTAAGTGTATGTGTGCTTGGTTAGACTCGACTTAGAATGTGACTAACAGAAAAAAGTCTACAGATGAGCTAATTTCTGTACTACAGAGGCAATCAAATAGCTTGCTAGAACAATACGATGACCAATTCATCAAACAGCAATATCGCTCTAAGCAGCCGAGAACAATACAGCGTCAAGCAAGGATTAAGGATTCCAAAAACGACCCTGACTGGAGATCACCAGCAAAAGGCAAAAACACCTTTATTACTAAAACTAAGTTTACAATTCCAAATTCCCGACAATGACAGTCCAAAGACACCAGAACAATGTAGGTCAAAAACTGAACTCTGGACCAGAGATACAGGGAGCGTCTCAAGACTCAACTTTTGAAAACATCAAATATCACTAAATCTCAATAAAGCTCAGTTATGAGATATATTCCCCGGCTTAACAACGGAGACATTACCAAAAACATTGTTCTAAATAACACGAGTTGTGCAAGAAAGGTATAAAATACCGACAATATGATTGGTGGAATGATGATGTAAAGAGGGTAGTAAGGGAGAAAAAGTTTAGCATATGAGAAGTTTTTACAAAGTAAAAGTGATGCAAGGAGGGAAGAGTATATGGAGAAAAAGAGAGAGGTTAAGAGAGTGGTGAAGCAATGTAAAAAGAGAGCAAATGAGAGAGTGGGTGAGATGTTATCAGCAAATTTTGTTGAAAATAAGAAAAAGTTTTGGAGTGAGATTAAAAAGTTAAGGAAGCATAGAGAACAAATGGATTTGTCAGTTAAAAATAGGAGAGGAGAGTTATTAAATGGAGAGTTAGAGGTATTGGGAAGATGGAGGGAATATTTTGAGGAATTGTTAAATGTTGATAAAGATAGGGAAGCTGTGATTTCGTGTATAGGGCAAGGAGGAATAACATCTTGTAGGAGTGAGGAAGAGCCAGTTGTGAGTGTGGGGGAAGTTCGTGAGGCAGTAGGTAAAATGAAAGGGGGTAAGGCAGCCGGGATTGATGGGATAAAGATCAAATGAAAATGCTGGCCCACAGATGGCTCCAACTTCATCCTGTTCCCTACTTGTATGTCTCATAACAATAAAAATTATTTCAAATGAGCTGATGTAGGTAACAGCTCTTAGCTTTCCAATAAAGTTAGGAATCCTTAACCTGTAATATAGCTGTCAATAAAGCTAGGGACCCTTAATTAACCTTGTCAAACCCTGTGTAAAAAAAAAAAAAAAAAGATAGAAATGTTAAAAGCAGGTGGGGATATAGTTTTGGAGTGGTTGGTGCAATTATTTAATAAATGTATGGAAGAGGGTAAGGTACCTAGGGATTGGCAGAGAGCATGCATAGTTCCTCTGTATAAAGGCAAAGGGGACAAAAGAGAGTGCAAAAATTATAGGGGGATAAGTCTGTTGAGTATACCTGGTAAAGGGTATGGTAGAGTTATTATTGAAAGAATTAAGAGTAAGACGGAGAATAGGATAGCAGATGAACAAGGAGGCTTTAGGAAAGGTAGGGGGTGTGTGGCCCAGGTGTTTACAGTGAAATATATAAGTGAACAGTATTTAGATAAGGCTAAAGAGGTTTTTGTGGCATTTATGGATTTGGAAAAGGCGTATGACAGGGTGGATAGGGGGACAATGTGGCAGATGTTGCAGATATATGGTATAGGAGGTAGGTTACTGAAAGCCGTGAAGAGTTTTTACGAGGATAGTGAGACTCAAGTTAGAGTATGTAGGAAAGAGGGAGATTATTTCCCAGTAAAAGTAGGCCTTAGACAAGGATGTGTGATGTCACCGTGGTTGCTCAATATATTTATAGATGGGATTGTAAGAGAAGTAAATGCGAGGGTCTTGGCAAGAGGTGTGGAGTTAAAAGATAAAGAATCACACATAAAGTGGGAGTTGTCACAGCTGCTCTTTGCTGATGACACTGTGCTCTTGGGTGATTCTGAAGAGAAGTTGCAGAGGTTGGTGGATGAATTTGGTAGGGTATGTAAAAGAAGAAAATTGAAAGTGAATACAGGAAAGAGTAAGGTTATGAGGATAACAAAAAAATTAGGTGATGAAAGACTGCATATCAGACTGGAGGGAGAGAGTATGGAGGAGGTGAATGTATTCAGATACTTGGGAGTGGACGTGTCAGCGGATGGGTCTATGAAAGATGAGGTGAATCATAGAATTGATGAGGGGAAAAGGGTGAGCGGTACACTTAGGAGTCTGTGGAGACAAAGAACTTTGTCCTTGGAAGCAAAGAGGGGAATGTATGAGAGTATAGTTTTACCAACGCTCCTGTATGGGTGTGAAGCAGTGGAGATGTCATGTCTGAGGGCAATGTGTGGTATGAATATAATGCAGAGAATTCGTAGTTTGGAAGTTAGGAGGAGGTGCGGGTTTGCCAAAACTGTTGTCCAGAGGGCTGAGGAGGGGTTGTTGAGGTGGTTCGGACATGTAGAGAGAATGGAGCGAAACAGAAAGGTTGGAGGGAGGGGGTAAAGAAGGTTTTGTGTGCGAGGGGCTTGGACTTCCAGCAGGCATGCGTGAGCGTGTTTGATAGGAGTGAATGGAGACAAATGGTTTTTAATACTTGACGTGCTGTTGGAGTGTGAGCAAAGTAACATTTATGAAGGGGTTCAGGGAAACTGGCAGGCCGGACTTGAGTCCTGGAGATGGGAAGTACAGTGCCTGCACTCTGAAGGACGGGTGTTAATGTTGCAGTTTAAAAACTGTAGCGTAAAGCGCCCTTCTGGCAAGATAGTGATGGAGTGAATGATGGTGAAAGTTTTTCTTTTTCGGGCCACCCTGCCTTGGCGGGAATCGGCCAGTGTGTTAATAAAAAATAAAAATGAAAGTAAAGACACATGTGCAACATCTGGTTATCTTTACTCTAGATGTGTCGCCATCCAGTGGCTTTATTAATACAGATTCTAGGACATAATTAGATAACAGTAGAACTATATACAAAAGATGAGGTAATCAGTCTTGGAGTTGGTGTTGAGAGCACCGTGGTGGTGGAGAATCTGGAGCAAAGGCAAGGAGACTGGCGTTTATATAGGCGTCAGTGGATTGAGACGTGTAGCAGACGAGGACATAGTCACTGGTAGGCGGGATTCCCCAGTGGAAGTAGGTCCTTCCCAAAGGAATGAGTTAGTTGTAGTAGACGTTAAGAAGGTCTTGTAGATGTCCTCTGAACCAAGAGAATAGCGTTCTCCCAGACAACAGAGATATTTCATCCACTGGAGCAGCGATAGACTGAGAAAGACCCAAGAAACAAGAAACAAAATGTGATAAATGGTTTGAAAACCAGCAAGATGAAGATTGAGAGACTTATTCAACATTTGGGAATATTAAGGAAACGTTTCGCCACACAGTGGCGTCATCAGTCCAGTACAAAGCAGAGAGGGGTAAGGAGAGGAGTAGTTGGATTGAACACATCGATTCTAGGCTGAGAGACTAATTACCTCAAATTCCTTCTCTCCTTAACACTCTCTGCTTTGTATTGGACTGATGAAGCCAATGTGTGGCGAAACGTTTCCTTAATGAAGATTCCAATATGTTGCATAAGTGTCTCAATCTTCAAGAAACGTGAAGGTAGATAGTTCGCAACGTTGGCAGCAAATCAAAACTCTTCCAGAGAGCACAGTGAGAAGTATAATTGTTACATCCTGCCTACATACATAAGCTAAATAAAAAGGCCAGATAATAACATAAAGCAAGAAAATGGTATAAAATACCGACAGGTTGTTAGGTAAGACACATATGCAACAGTTAGGTATCTTTATTTCGAAACGTTTCGCCTACACAGTAGGCTTCTTCAGTCGAGTACAGAAAAGTTGATAGAAGCAAAAGAGACTTGAAGACGATGTAATCAGTCCATCACCCTTAAAGTTTTGAGGTGGTCAGTCCCTCAGTCTGGAGAAGAGTATTGTTCCATAGTCTGAAACAATATGGAGTTGAAGTGATAGGATGGAGCCTTATATAGCGCCAGGAGGTGAAACGTAGGTCACTAGTAGATACCTAACTGTTGCATATGTGTCTTACCTAACAACCTGTCGGTATTTTATACCATTTTAATGTTCACTCCGTCAGACACGGCAACACAAGGGTATCTTGGTACAGACTTGGAATCAACTTCAACAACCTCTACTAGTGAGAATGGCTGGATTTGAGAGGGACCTGACCTCTCAACGTCTACATTCTT